TTCCATTGTAGCAGAGCTTGGTTTCCTTAATCTCAGTAAAGGCCATGTTTTCTGCTGTGCCCAGAGTCCTCCCTGGAGGAGGAGGCTCAGAGGCACTGTGAGTACGTAAAGCCATTGCACGTCTCACAAACGCCACGTGTGCGGAGATGTGGGTGTTTCTGTGCGTGTGCGTGGATGTGCTCATCAGGAACATGTCACAGTCTGATCAAATCCATGGGAAGTGAGAACAGTTCTGTGCTCCGGCCTCTCACGGTGGTGACAGCTCTTGGTCTCCTTCCAACATGGTATCTTCCAAGAACTGCAGAAGAATAATGAGACTCTCCCCTCCCCAGCACTCAGACACCAGCCCTGAATCTCCCCGGGGTTCTCACTGCCCTGTCCGGTCACATTTCCAGGGGTAACGAGCCGTTGGCACACCAAGAAGCTCCCCAGGAAGACACACAAGGGCTTGCGCAAAGTTGCCTGCATCGGAGCCTGGCACCCGGCCCGGGTTGGCTACTCCATTGCTCGGGCTGGCCAGAAGGGCTACCACCACCGCACGGAGCTCAACAAGAAGGTATGGCCCAGATGGGCTCCCTCAGAGCACCACTGCGCCTTCCTGCCTTCCTTCCTCCCGTGCTGTCACCATCCTTTGCACCGTGGCCTCTGTTCCCCCCAGATGTTTCCCTAGAGATCTGCAGTGCTGTTGTTCTCCGTGCCTTTCCCTGTTGTTCCCTGTTCCCTTGTTCCCTGCTCAAGGGACACATCACAGGGGGCACATCTTGGTGAAAACTGCATCGTCCCTGTGACATCCCTCACTGAGGGGGTGGGAAAGTCGCCGTCTCAATTTCCTTTCTGTTCCTAGATTTACCGCGTCGGCCATGGGATCCACGTGGAGGATGGCAAAGTGGTGAAGAACAATGCCTCGACGCACTACGATGTCACGGAGAAGACCATTACGCCTCTGGTAAGGGCTGAGGGTGTAAAAGGGCTGTGACTGGCCCTGGCTACAGGAATCCTAGCCAGGGAAGTAATTCCTTGGCCGGAGACACCTGCGTAAGAAATGATTTGAAGGAAGTTCACTGAAAGAAATGCAGTGATTCCTTTCCTCATGTTTTGGACATGGAAAACCATCTCTGTGAGGTGTTTTTTTAGGCCCATTGGTAGACCCAAACACATAACTTTCAGCTGATGACTTGGGCAGGAACCAAGAACTTTGTTTAAAAAGAAAAAGAAGTATAAATGACATTAAAAATCTGATACTTAACAGATAAATGTTTGTTACTTGGTTTAAAAATTCACTTTTGCTTATTAAAAACTGTTAACTTGGGAGTCTAGCCAGCTCTGCTCTCTGTTCACCCACACCCTTCAGGGAAGGAAGCAGGGTTGCTGGTTCCCCAGCTCTGACGGGGTGCTGCTTAGCTTGGATCATGCAGTCAGTGGGGCTGACATGCTCTGGTGGTCCTGAGCAGGCAACCTGAAGGGTGCAGAGTGTTGTTAGCTGGAAGGACTGTCAGTCACTACCTTCTCCTGCCCTAGAAAGTGCCACCTGTGGACACATCTGCTCCCGTCCGGCTCTCCTGCCTGCCAACCCTCTCTCTCCCTCTCCCCACAGGGTGGCTTTCCTCACTATGGGGAGGTCAACAACGACTTCCTCATGCTGAAAGGCTGCGTCGTGGGCACGAAGAAGCGTGTGCTCACCCTCCGTAAGGTGAGAGCGCAGCCGGCGCTGGGGAGGGACGGGCTGTAGCTCTCCACGAAGGGGTTCACCGCGTGGAGAACGCCACCGCCTCCAAATGCTGGGCAGGGAGACTGGTCGGGTCCTTGATGCTGTGTTGCAGAGGGCATGTGGCACCTGAGCGCGGTGCTCAGTGAGACCATTCGCGGCTAGGAGGTTTGTGGCAGTGTGCAGTCGGAGGTACTCTCTCTGGAGACAGAAGCTGCAAGCCTTTGAGGGCTGTGATGTGGGGCCCAGAAATGGAAACCTTGGCCATAAACAGATTGTGAGCAAATGAAACGCTAAGTGGAGAGTAGGCTCATTTCAGAGCTGCTCTGCAATCCAAGGCATCACCTGCCACCTGAGCACCAGGGTGTTTCTCTGAGAAGGCAGATTTTTGTGGAGATATTTGTCTAATGGATGCACCTAGGATATTTCAACCCTGCTTCCATCACAGCAGATGTCCAGATTTTCTGTAACGCTAAGCCTGATGCATTGTGACTCTTCTTTTCCAGTCCCTTCTGGTGCACACAAGCCGCCGGGCTCAGGAAGCCATTGAACTCAAATTCATTGATACCACTTCCAAGTTTGGCCATGGCTGCTTCCAGACAGCCCAGGAGAAGCGGGCTTTCATGGTGAGTTACGTCCTGCGCCGGCTCCAGCTCCCAGGCCACGCTCGCAGCTGGGGCTACAGCAACTGATGGACTCCAACCAAGCATCTGCTTCTCGATGTAACAGCAATGAGTGATCGGGACTGTCTTGCATAAAAGACAGGCATGAATTCAAATCACACAGCAGATATTATGCTAAGGAAGGACATGATGGTTGTGTGCATGATCCAAGACAACCCAACTAGCAAATAATATACCATATGGCCAACCAGTTTCCATTCACCACGGGACGTTTTAAACAAGCAGTTAACTTGGCAGGCACTGCCTTGGACATATGGTCTCTTTCACCCGTAATTGTGCACTTCTTTTTGATTTGTTTGGAATGATTTATAACTTTAATGTTCTTAAGAGGAAAAGGTTGGGTCAAATTCAGACACAAATTTGCGATTCTTTTGTCAGGAAGCTTTCAAAAAGGCCAGGCAGTATATTTTTCTTAAATCCAGGGCAAAAAAAAAATTTAAAGAATCCAAAACAAGCAGAGTTTCTTGAAGAGTTTTGCAACCTACACCAGGCTGGTGCATAAGTCTGAATGTGAAATTGAGGAAGCGTTGAGTAAGCCAGGCCTTCAGCTAGCAGAAATGAAAGAAACGACTGCCTGGATACCACGCAGATGTAAACCGTGTCCGGATCCGGCCTGTCGGCTAGAAATCCCATGTGAAACTGGCTAAGCCTCCTCAGCCCCGGGAAGGGGGATTGGCTATGCAGTGCCTTTGCAGAGCTCTTTAGAGGTTAAGCTGTTTTCCTTTATCTCAGTGTTAGGAGCTTGTTCTGTGTTCTGCTGTTGCTGTCACTGCAAGTCCCGAGTAGCTGTGACGTGGACCTTAGTGACAGGAGGTGGTTTTACCAGGTTGCAGATGTTTTCTTTGCCATTTTCTACTGTGGGGTGAGAGTTTCCCCCACATACAATGTGGTAAAACTTTACATTTGGCTGGAAGTAGAGGCACGTAAGTAATTCTTGCCATCTGCTCCCCTAGGGCTTACTTGGTCCGGGACAACCCCGTTTCTTAGCTGGTGGAAACCCCTCAGGCTCTGTTGAGTTGGCTGATGAGAATCTGCGCCTTTGGCTGTGGGAGGCCTTGCCTCCTCCAGGGCTCGTACAGCAGCTCGGCAGCTGCTCCACCGTGGCGGGCTCCCGGTAGCGTTCATCAGCACGATTACTGCTCCCCTCCACGTCCCCTGACTGCAGGCCAGCCCGCCCAGCTCGGAGCAGGTCACTCGCTGCCGCTCTCTGGCTGCTTTTGTGGTTTCCAGACAAACAAACCCTTTGTGCAAGGGCAATGATGTTCCCCTCCTGATTCCTGCAGGGCTATGGAGGCCCCAGGGGCGGCTGGTGAATGGCGGCACAGAGCTCCCAGCTGGGGAGCAGAGACCAGGAGCAGCCTTGCACGGCAGAAAGGGGCCAGAGCTGCATTTCTGCCCCCCGCAGCTCAGATGCAGCCTTGTAGGCCAGGTTTGTCTGCCACTGACACTGAGAGCTCTCTGCTCTGCTCTCTTCCAGGGCCCTCAGAAGAAACACTTGGTGAAAGGGAAGCCAGGAGTGCAGGAAGAGCTGTAAGGACTCAGATACGCAAGGCTACCTAACTGGCCACCTTCAATAAAAAGGCTTCAAGCCATGTCTGCTGCCTGTCTTCCTTCTGGAGGGGTGTCCTGCCTGCATTCAGTGCTGCCTGTGGGCAGCAGTGTGTCCTCGAGGCTCCTCAGCACGTGGGGATGGGACAAGTAGCACGTGAGACTGGCCCATATGACAGGGACTAACTGGGACGGCCACGTGCCTGCTCTGTCCTCTGGATCCTCCCTTTCCTTTGCCCGGTGAATTTTTTTCCACTGCCTGCACTCACCCAAACCACGGTGAAGACTCCCCTTCCTCTCTTCCAGAGGGGAGCAGAGCAGGTACCAGCACTTCTGCCCCAGTTTCTGCTGGGAAGACAGGGCCTCCCCATTACCTGCCTCTGCCCGGTCTCACTGACCATCTCTCCCCTCGCCGCCTCCCACACACGCACACTCAGGCACTCCTTTTGCTGAGCTGAAAGTGTGACCCGTGGACTTCTCTCTGCTCAAATCCCCACGATCACAGCCGGCATCCTCGGCAGAGGTGGGAACTTGGGTACAATAAGATGGCTGCTAGGTAAGACCGGGCAGTGATGGATTTATTCAGATTTTGGACTCATTTCCCACCCATGTTTTCCTTGCAGTCCAGCTGCCTGCAGCGGAGGGTGTGATGTGTCTTGGAGCTGTGATGTCTTGGATCAGCGGTGATCACAACTCCCTCAGTGCAGCACTGGTCTGGGCGTCCTGCACTCTCTTTGGGAACCAGACAGTGGAAAGCCCAGCCCTCCGCTGGTCCGGAGCTGCCCCCTTGATCGGGAGTCCTGGGAACCTGGTAGGAGGCGCATGAAGTACTTGGGTCTCCAGCAAACCCCTTGCCCCGGGTCTGGTTCTGCTCTGAGCGTGTGCTTGCAGTATTTGAGGAGGCGGCTCATCTACAAAAGTGCTGAGGGTGAGATGAACCGAGAAGTTCAGACCCCACGGCATAGCCCTGGATGCGGTCAGTGGCCAGGCCCCGGCTGGCTCCGTGTCCCGGCGAGGCCCCTGAGCTCTCTGCAGTGTCTCTGCCCTGCCCGTGGGGCTGCGCGTCAGAGCCTCTTCTCTCCCTTGGCTGGTAGGTCCCCGGGCAGTCCCCCAGTGGGTGGCTGAGGATCCAGGCCAGAGCGCATGATGGGAATGATGAGATCGTCCATGTTTGGCATCACCAAGATTTTCTGAAAAGAGGCATCCAGAATAAGAAGTAGGTGGTTTTGAACACCTGACTGGTGACACATCTGCCGGGAAGTGGCCTTGGCAGGAGCCGCACTCGGGTAGAAACCGGGGCTGTGAACAGAAGGTCCGGGGCTCCCGTCCCCTCGTCAGCAGCTGACCGTGCCTGGCCCTAGAGGATTACCAGCTCTGGGCATCTCAGGATGGGGACGAAGAGGAGCAGTTTTTCTTTGCCCTGTACGGCTTCAAGGGTGGTCATGGCAGAGGGCAGGGACCAGCACTTGGAAGCCATTCAAATGGGCAGCTCTTTGGGGGGGATTTGGGTACCTAAACATCTGTGGGGACATTTCTGCTCTTTGAGCAGAGGTCTCAAAGGCGAGAGGCTGAAAACAAACCAGCGGGTACCTTGTGATGGTAAATCTCCCAAACATCCCAAAACCAGAGTTGATGGGTGAATTCAGCCCTTTTGGGGGGTGTCTGCCTGGGACTTGCTGACACTCCTAACCCCCCTGTTTGGGGCAGGGCTGCACATGCTGGGAGGAAACCACTTCTCCTCAAGCACTCTAGTGCTCGGAGCACCAGCCCTTGGAACTTGTTACTTAGGTTGTGTTTCTTGACTGTCCAAAGCTGGACAGACCAGATGAGATGTTGGCTTTCTGTAGAGATAACCCTGGCCCAAACTGAGGTCTGATTATCCCTGATCGCAGCGACGCCCATGCTTCAGCAGGGTTTGCTGAGCCCTTTAACAGACCACGCACCTGAAATTCGTGCTGCAGCTTCTTCTCGATCCACTCGGTGACATGGAGGAACGTCACCTCCCGCTCACCCAGCTTTGGGCGCACCTTCAGCTCCAGCTGGGGCGGGACTCGGAAGCTGTACCTGCAAAGGGAAAGGAAAGAGGCAGAAAGCATCACGTCCCGAATATGCGGCACAGCCCACATGGCCCCACTGCTGGGTTTTAGGGACCTGCCTCCTGGGAGGAGGTGGCTGGGTTGCAGCGGGAGCTCTGGGTCCCCAGATCCTGTCTTGGCCTGGGTGGGGACCAGGAGAAATGAGCCTGAGGTCTCTGACTCCCTTTGGGAGAACAGCCCTGGCTTGCTGGCACCCCAGATGAACACGAAGCCCCAGAGCTGGCTCCTTGGCTGAGCCACAGGGAGCAAGGGGAGCTGGAAGGAGGATGCGTGTGTGTCCCCGCATGGGAGGAAGGAGAGCTGGTACCAGACACGGTCCGTTGGTGGTGGGGGGATGTTCACGGCCAAGGTGCCTGCCAGCTCCTGCACCTCCACCGTCAGCAGCAGCGGTGTGTTGGAAACCTCCTCGATCTTCTTTTTGATGAACTCGTTTTCAGTGGCCTTCTGGAAGTACTTGGACTTGGCGATCTTATCCACAAAGCGCAGGATCTTCCGGCTCGTGCTGTTGCTGCTGACGTGGCTAAAGCAAGGGGAGCCACAGCTCAGCAGCAGGGTGAGACCCAGAGCCGTGCTGGGTTTCGGCATCCCCCGGCCGTCTGCCACAGCACCCCGCAGGGACAGGAGTCCCCTGTGACGGGCTGCCATGATGTGCCGGGGTGCCTGTGCGTGCCCTCCCGGGGAAACCGGCCCCCAGCCCCTGTGCTGGCATAGCACCGTGCCTCCCCCAGCATCTCCCCGTACACCCCGTGGCGCAGACCCCAAACAGCCCCTTACCCCTCGGCGCCAGGCGGTGGGACCCGCTCCCCCAGGGCTCCCGCGGGCTCTGCAGCGGTGACATCTTCCTCGTCGGAGGAGCCGGCGCTGGATGACTCCGCATCGCTGTCTGCCAGCAGGATCAGCCGTGGCCTGGCGCTGCGAGCCCCAAGGAGCATCACAGGGGTGCCCTGGGGCCAGCACCCTCTTGCCTCGCTCAGGCAAGAGGAGGAGGAGGATGAAACCCAGCCATGCACATTCTCCTTACCCCTCTCCGCCTGCCTCTGCCGGGCAGCTCTCCTCTGCAGTGCTCTCCTTCCCCAGCTTGCAGAGGTTCATCTTCGTCTCGAGCGTCATCTGCAACGAGCCGCAGTAGGTGACCTCCACGTCCACCCAGAGCCCTGCCGGGGAGAGGGACGGGGTGAGCCCCTGTCAGCACCGCAGGGGCCGAGGGCTGCTCATGCGCCTGCCGACACCTCCCTGCTTCGGGGACCGGGCTGGTACCTCGATAACAGCTGCTGTGGAGCCAGCCCTGGGATCCCTGCTGCTCTGCAGGGCTCTTACCTCGGTCATTGACGGTGGTGTTGGAGGCGCTGAGGACCGAGGGGATGGATGTGCCCATGTCCAGCTCCGTCAGCGTCAGCTCATTCATGAAATACGGGAGCTGATGGAGGGAAACCACATGGGGACGATCACCACAGTCTGGCACCCGCCGTGGGGCCTTGGGGATGGGGCTGTCCCGGGTGCTGTGATGCTCCTGCCTCTGACCTTGATCTTGCTCAACTTCTTCTGGATCTTGCTGGACACTTGCTCGGCCCAGTATCGCTCCCGGAGGAAGTCCCAGAAGATGCGCCCCACCAGCGCATTCATCCAGGCCATGCATGCCTCGCTGTGCCCGGCCGTGTCCTCACCGAGCTGCGGAGGGACAGAAGCCACGAGCCCCTGGAGTGAGGTGGCCCCATGAGCAGTGGGACCCGCTGGCTGGGTGCTCCCTTGCACCATGGCTTGGCTGCTCAAACCGTGGTGGCGGGAGGGAGGAGACAAACCACAGGACTGGAAGTGGCTGCACGCAGGGTCCATCAGCCTCTGCTTAACGCTCGTGTCCCGCTCCCGGTGCTGGATTTGTCCCACTCACCTTCACGGGCGTGGGGCTGCCCAGTGCTCCGTGAGAGGGGCTCCGATCTGGGCTGCCCCCCACCTGCGCTGGCACGAATCGGGCCATGTAGGTGCCGTAATCCAGGAAAATCTTCTGTCGGACGCTTCCCGCCAGGTCCTTGGGTGGGACAGCGGAGGGGATGTCCTCGGCGCTCCCTCCACTGCTGCTGCTGCTGCTCCGCGGAGCTGGTCCCACACCTGGAGACACGGGGACAACGAGCGGGTCAGGATGGCATGAGAGGTGACATGCCGCCTGGCGGCAATGCACGCGCGGTGACGTGCCGCGATGCACATGCGGTGACATGCTGCCCGTCCGCGATGCCAGCGACATGCCACCCACCCTGTGCTGGCAAGGGGGATCCTCCAGGCTCTCCCTGCTGCTGCAAACGCTCTTGGCTCTGGGCTCCTCCATCTCCCCCCACGCTCACTGCTGCCTACCAAGGGCTTGTCCTCCCAGCACACGTGCAGCTCCCACCCTGGATCAGACCCGGCACAGAGCAGACGCCACGATGGCTGCTTCTCACCTGCCCTGGCTTTGCCGTGGCTGCTGCTGGGTGTCCCACGGGAGGCTCGCATGAGGTGCTGGTACCACTCCTCCTTCTCCCTCCCAGTCCGCCCGAAGAGGTACAGGCACCTCTCCCTGCAGTCCCCTGGGACATCCTGGCCTGGCACTGGCGCCTTCTTCGTCCCTTCATTCCTCTGCAGCTCTACGTTGTGCTCCTCGCTGCTCCTGCACTCCATGTCCGCCAGGTCGGGGAGGAGGACGCATATGGGGTATTTCTTGTTCCACGTCCGCTTTCGGGCCAGGCTTGGGGGGCAGAGGAAGACCTGCAACACCGAGAGTGGTGGTGAAGCCAGGGCACTGGGGGTCCCCACAAGGGGAGAGTCCCCTACTCCCACGGGAGAGTCCTTGGCGCTGCCGGACTCACCTTGGCATCAGTCAGGTCATAGCAGCGGTGGCTGACGAAGACGGTGTCGAGGATTTCCTCCTCGAAGGTGGCTCGGCGTGGGATGTTGCTCTTGGGGTAGGAGAGCTTGAGGGTGGCCCCATCCAGCGTGGCGAGCACCGAGTGCGTGAGCGAGGGGTGGAAAAGCTCAGGGTCGTAGACGTGCAGCTGGTTCATCCAGCCCTGGGTGGGAGGAGAGGGAGCCGGCTGCTTCCCCCTGTGCCGTACGGGGTGGCAGCCTGCATCCACCGTGGGCTCGGCACCCCCTCGGTGC